TGGCGTGACTGATGAAGTGTGTGTCGAGTTTACCAAACTAGTCAAGGCGGCTAGAAAAGGGGAGGATAATAAGAGATCCAAATGAGTTCTTTACTCGCAATATGTAGTTTGTGTACAGAGCTGTATGAATAATGAGGCTGTCAAATTCAGTGAAGTTTCTCATTTCTGACAGTTGCAACACGAATCCTGGCTGGTGTTTTCAGAAAATCTGGCAGGCCAAATCTTGATCAGGTCATCGGCGGTCGACTCACGCATAATCACGACAAGCGATAGCCCGCTCAGGTCTCTCTCTTATGTATAAACCACTTCATGGAGTGAAGGTAACTTTATTGAAGTACACGAGGGGGTGGAAACCAAACGTAAATATATATCGCGTAAGACGCAAGCAAGGCCAAACACAAAGCCCGTGGAGGCTAGGATTTCTGAATACATGGAAGTAACCAAATCTATCCAATGTTAAGCATTCATATAACCCGCAGGAGACATCTAGTAACCGGGTGTACCCAATCACCATCGCTCTGAGCGCTCGCGATCGGTTTTCAACACGTAAGCGCGCTGAAGGAGACTTATTTGGAAACGACATAACGAGATGTTTTTCTAAATAGCTGACACATCCCTGCTTAGCAGAAGCAGCATGGCCCGACGTTGATGTACAGATATCGCTAGCCTACAACTCTAAGCGAAAAGCTCGAACACGAACTGAAACGCGGAGATAGCCACCCCACAGTTTATCCTAGTATATCTTGCGCACATCAAGGCGTGTTCAACAGCGTGGCTGCAGCGTGTAGCACAATGGATTGGAGGAAATATTGGATATATATATGGCGCCCATGTATACATATCTTAAGATACGAAGTGTGAACATAAGGCTACCACATGTCGTGTTTGGGGTCGTACACGTAGATATACGACCAAGCGTCAATTCAGCTCTTGAGCGCAGATCGCCCACGCGGCTTATCGATTGAGCCCCTATATCAATGTTTTGGCTGTAATCTGTCCCGCTGGCTCCTAAACTCACAAAGAACGCGCGCTCGTTAACTAAATAGAAAGGCTGAAGCTTGAACCCTCCTTTCAATGCCCTGACCCCCCATCTGCGAGGTCGTAAGTTTTGTGTACCCTCTTGCTCGACACTATCGCTGAGAAGCACCCAGTGATGCATCTTCCCAGTACCCCCAACGTCTTCTCGTCCTTGCCTCGCCGGGCACCCAGCGGCGAACCGACCATCCTGAACTTGGACTTCACCAACGGATGGGAAGAGAGTCCTGTATTCAGGGACTACAATACCCACTTCAAATGCAGAGAAGTTGCCCGACTCCAACTCTTCAAGGAAAGTCCCAACTCCGTGCATCACCGGTTCATTGTTTTGCATATGAAGGACGGGGCCATCCATCGCTTCGACCGACGACCAGATCCTGATGCTTCGAGTGCAGCTCAAGTCCTACAGAACTCCCCCGTCAGGACCCTAGATACATGTGTGGCGAACCTAGACCCCAAGTCCATGGAAGAGCTGAAGGAGCAAGCAATATGCGAAGTCGAACTGCTTCTAGACGATGGCGCAAACAATATTTTATCAGTATTTGCCGCATGCTACTGCATCTCGCGGGCGGACGAGGCAAAACAATATACTCTTCTGAGGCACAACTGCTTCTTCTTTGCCTGGACTATCCTTATGGTCGTGGCTCGCCAGCACCTACCGCATCGTATTCCTTCACGCGACTTGCTCGTTAAGCGATATTTAGACGGGGTTAAACCCGTTATCGCCGAGCAGGTCAACCGGGACATCAACCACGGCACAGAGGCGTTCCTAGATGCTATTCTTATATTCCAAGAGAGAAACAGGATCTCTGTTCGATCGGAAGTCGATGGGCTCTGGTGGAAGTTGTTGATGTCAATCCCTCCCAGTGTGGTAAAGGTTTTCGGACGAGGAGCTTTGAAGCTCAGCTCATACCTCGGTACACGTCAACGCATACAACGGGCTATGTTGCATAATATTGAGATCAAAGCCGACGGCATGTGGCAGAAGGGTCTCGATTATCATAGGGACAACGAGGCTAAGCTCGATGAGCGTCTTTGGCTTGAAAAGATGGACGAGTTTCTATTGCCTGCCGTAAAAAGGGAGCTCGAGCGAGTACTTTGGGAGCATATCTCGGAAATATTCCAGGATGCCTGCGAAAGCGAAGATACCCGTCGGATGGTCGAAGAGCTCGTCAATCGCAAGAAACCTGTCTTATGGTCTCGGAAGGCTTGGGAATTCCGAGCAGTGTGCATTGCTTCATTCTATGCGGCAATATCTGCAGTGCATGCTACTCTGCAGAGGGAGCCATACAACGGAAGGGAGAAGCACGAGGACGTATTCGATCGCCTTTGGGCCAGCGCGAACAAGGCAGCTCTTGACGCCTCCAAAGCCGGTGTGGCCAATTCGCGATCGAAAGTCAAGAATGCAGAGAAATGGGATCAAGCGTGGGCACCCGTTTGGAATGATTGGGATAAAGCCTGGGCGGAGGCACTCCCACCCGTGCGGACTCGAATTGTCAAGTCGATGATCGAAGTCTCTGTGGACAAGTACTCGAAATATGGGGCGGACCTCTTACTGGAGGAGATGAGGCAGGATAAGGGGAAGGTCTTAAAAGCGAGCTTCATGCCATCGGTTAGTAAATATTACCTCGGTGAATACGTGCGGTTGATTGATGAATACACTTAGCGCAAGCGCCGATTACGTCGCTCTGATGATCCACCGATCAGTTTGACCAATGACCAAATACAGCAGTTTATACGCAAGGCTATGGAAGAAGTAAGGGCTCCGGGTTACGATTACAACGTCGTACAGTCAACCATGGCAGACATGTGGATCCAAGCGAGGAGTTGCCTTCAAAAAGGTGATATTTGGGATCCAGCCTACCCGGCTACGGTAGCGAATATTTCCGCGACCTAGTTTAGTATCGGCCAAAAAGGCGGCAAGTGCATGATAGATTACGAACTTACCATATGGTTGAGTAATTGGGATAGACATATTTTCTAGTATTTATATCTCATGTTGTATGCCCTCAGTCGCTGTCTGTTTTATATATGCTACAGTTTATGCCGCTTTTCGGATACAGCGTCTGAATGCCCAGGAAAGGAAACCACCGCAGTTTGAGGGTTCAGTAATGGATATCAATTAGTTTTGGACTACCCCCCAATCAATGCTGTGGATAGTTCAGGGAGGTAACGTTACAGCTGTAGACAAGCATCGTTGAAGTAGGATGTTTTTACGGCATGTTGTGGTTCTCAAATCAAGCGCCCAGGCTTGTCGAAATTGACGCGTTCCTCGCTCAAAATGGGAACATATCCGAATCATCTGAACGTCAAAGTCCATGTCTATATACTTATTCGCACAACTTGATGAACACAGAAAGGTATTGATGGATACAAAACGAGTAATAGATAGCGACAACCCACGCAAATCAAAGTAAGCGCCCGTAAAAGAAACCAGGATAAAATATCGTAAAGCCCTCGTCAATTAGTTCAACGGCCAACCTAGACATTCGAATGACCGTATGACTGGTTGGGCGCGGAGAACTCGTAGTTATCCTTGCCGTCATGATGCGCGGTAAGATTATCGGTACTCTGACCGAGAGGATGATGCGGGTAATATGTAGCACCAGCAGAGGGAGTGGAAAAGGCCGCGCCAGTGCTCTTGTGAGCATGGCGATAAGACTGCTCTTGGCTCAGTTGCTCTACGTAGCGCGAGACGATCAGAGCGCAATAGCCGTGGACGAGCAGAGTGACGACAAAGACGACGATGTACCCGATCTTCCAAGCTTTAGTCGCGACCTGGCATGCCTTGGCGATATCATTGTCGCTGAGTTTGATAGAGCTGTCTGCTTTAATTTCCGTGATGCACTTTTGAATGTTCTCATCGTTTTGACGGTAGAGGGTGTAGATGAAGAACGCGCCAGATGCAAGCTGGAAGCCGACCATGTACCAGAGGGCTTGCGCGTAGGCCAAAACGAGCCCGCGTTTGCGAGTGATAGCGCCAATGAAGCTAAGAGCGAGGCGTGAGTGATGTATAGCAGACAGGAATAGAATCAGCGCTTACCCTAAGATCGAGAGGAAGAAGAGGAAGGTGTATATGGATCCTGCGACAACGAATGCGACTTCCTGAGGTTTATCCAACGACGCGTGGCTGCCAGTCTTGGACACTAGACTCACCGATAAGCTTCCGAGAACCCAAAGAGTAGAAGAGAACACACTTACTGTACACTGCGTACCAAATCACCGCTGCATACGCGCCTGATCCGATAATCGAACCAAGTGAGAGGACAAAGACACCAAGTCTGACGGGCAGACAGCAGCAGAAATGGCGCGTAGGGGACATAACTAGATCAGATGAAGTGAGGCTCGACGGGAGATGGTGGTGGAGGCTTGGGCGACGGGGAGGCTATATACCCTAGCAGTCATCAACGCGTGTTTATCGCCATATCGGGCTGTGCCTTGAAATAGCCACCAATCAAATGGTGATGATACTCCGCACCGCCACGAAATGACTTCTTGACACCAGGGGTGCGGTTCCGCTTGTGCCAGGTGTTGATTATTCAAGGGGTACATATTTGGGAAATGTACATTCCAGTACAGATCCGGATGCTAGCTATGCTGTTTCGATAAGGGGATCTCTGTCGCCCCTTGTCTGAAGACGACAATATCCGTTTCAACCGGGGAGGGTTGACCGAAAGAGAAGAACTTCGCACATAGGCTGGCACCGGTGGTAACGGAAGATGGGCGTGCTTCGCGTTCTTTCTGAGCGCCAAGCACTCAGCACTAAGGACATAGTTTGCCGACGTGCCGCTCAATGACGTATAGTTATCGAAAGTTTGGAGTCGAAGCCACCTCGGAGACGTATTACAGCCATAGTTGCTGTGTTGTTATGCTCGTTGAGAAGACGAAATGAGGGGCGCCAGCGTTCGAGACGAGTGGAAGTTGATCGCTGACAATAGATAGCTTGTCCGAAGCTTTATGATTAAGCCCTTATAGCTCAGTGGTAGAGCGCATCACTCGTACTCTTGGCGCACATGATGAGGTCCGTTGTTCAATCCAGCGTGGGGGCATCTATTTTATCTGAATTTGGTAGTGAATTTTGGTTTTATGCCGACGCAACCACCAAGTAAGGATCTCGAACAAGCCATTAAATTTAAAATACTGGGGCAACAGCTGACTTTGTGTGGGGTCGGTGTGGGTTTGTAGCATATATACTAACCACCTAGTTACATCATACTCCTCTAACTCACCTCCCGCCCGGATTACAATGAACCTCAATTACACAGCCAACTGGTGCACTTCATTGAGAAATTGGTTGAAAGCACAGGAGATCATACGACTCCACAGAAGCCGGAAATGTAATATATATTGTTACGTTCAATCCAGGAGAAGGCGTTTTCAGCTGATTTGACCGGAAAACATGGTCAACATCTCGAAGAAGGGCGAGCTTTACAGTTTGATCTCAATAAATCTACACAGCCAATGTAATAAGTAACATGCAGCAAGTCCACCTATCTCCCAGCTGTCAAATTCTAAAGTTGGTTAAGCCAGTGCTTGCCTCATGTCAAAGACAATTCAGAATGCATTGTCCAAAAATACCCACAGGGCTACGGAACATACACGAATCACCGTCGAACAGCATCGACAGCACCACAGCTCGCCTATCGCAAAAGCCAAAAATATCACGCCTTGTTCTCCTCTTCGCAACTTCGTGTACCACCGCCTCGCCGTCCACGACATCTCCAAGCGCCACACATGGTTCGATCGAACGCCACTCGCCGCCAAGTTAGGCAAAGCCACCCATAGTAACCGCGAGCATGGTCAACCACCAGGCCCTGAACAAGCTTCCGAAACCCTCTTCATCGATCATCCTCCTCGCGCAATCCGCCAGGCCAAGGTAGGGATCCTCCTCGCTCCTCAACGCAATCACGTCTTCTTCCTCACCAATGTACTCCGCAGCGGGGTCGGCCATGCCGTCGATTGCACAGTCGGCGTCTGTGCGTGGGTGGTTGCGTTGGACGCTCAGTCGGGTGGCGAGAACCTCGAGTGGGCAGAGGACGGCGGTGGAAGAGGCGGAGAATAGTATGAAGATGGTGAGGTTGGTCATGTTGAGGCGTTTGGTCATACGGTTTTGGTCGTCGAGGTCTGCCGCGCTACCAAGACCATTAGCAAGCTATGATAGTCGGAAAGGGGTTAGTTCATTCTGCAGACGAGTATTATTAGGTTAATTGAAGCTTACAGATGGTAGGAGCATACTGCGCACAACACGAGCGACAGCAACAACCCAAACAAGGATCAACATACTGGGTTACGCAAGTCAGATCAATGACGCAATCCCAACCCAAAACCTTTCATACCGAGCAGCCAAAAGACCTGGGGTCAGATACAACACCCACGGCTTGCGACGTTCGAACGGGGTGAGGATAATCCTCAGCGCCTCCATGGGTCGGAACCAGGGCAGCCGGTGCGGCGTGCATACGGCCCTGATACCCGGTCCGGAATTAGTGACCGAGTTCTCTGATACATTTGAATGAAACTGACCTGTTGAATAGAATTTCGTACGGAATACCAACAACTAGCGCGCCCATGCCGTAGAGCAAACCTCGGAGGATGCCCGTACCGGGTACGTGCATCTGCGAGCGCGGCTGGTATTTGGCGTGTCCCGGGATGGTGAGCACCGCCCAAAGGGTAAGGAGGATTGTTGAGACAAATGCGGGCACTGATTTATGGTTTTATGTTCAGAGTCATGTCCGTCGAAATGAGATTTTAACCGCTCACTGAATCCCTTGTACATTCCCGGCCACCCTTCCAAACGGTGGATCCTCCGTAACATATTTACAATCCCGTTCACCGCAGGACCGACGCGCGCCTCGGGGGCGACATGGCTACTCTCGTTTATATCTTCCTCTTGGTTCAACTGGAGTCCCTTGGGTGTATAGTTCGCGCGGAGTCTATTTAGTGTGTAGTGGTTGTTAGGTCCAGGTACGGGTCGTCAAGTAAAGCGGGCGAGATAAGGTGAGTGCAACTTACCGAACAATGGCGCCAGCGATGGGAACCGAGAGAGCGAGGCCGGCCGCGATAGGACCAAGCATGGCCAGCAAGAATACCACCACCTCGAGTAGATTCGGCATCTTGAGTTGTGTGGCTAACAGTTACTAGCG